GGCTCAAGGAACACTGAAGGGGAGGGAGTTGTTTGAACACTTCAAAACAGAAAGGAAATGCAGAGCTCTTCCACTTAGTGTGTCAAACCAGCTCAGAAGTATGTGACAATCCAGGCAAAGCAGTTCGGTTTCTAGCCAGCCCGGTCATGATTCTCTGGCAAACCGCACAGTCATGGTTACGATGCACTGGGATGGAGGGGTGCTGTATAAATGTCATATGCTACATAAATATCAGGAATAATGATTGTTTGTTAACGGGGGCTAAACTGTTTCTAAGCAAACCTCCTGCTCCCAGCCAACACATCCTTAGCAGAGGTTCTGACCACCAATAATAACCCAGGGGAAGGGAATGCTCACCCCTGGTTCTAGAAAGGAGCCTAGCTGGGACCTGGGGTTTAAAAACAGGGGTTGGGGTGGTGCCAGTGCCACCAATTGCTCAAGTGACTTCAGGTCAGCCCCCTCATCTTCTGGAGCCTGTCTTTGTTCACCTGTAAAATGGGGATAATTATAACGCCTGCCTTACTTCTTGGATTGGGTTGTGAGAATCAAGAGAGTGCACGTGGGTGTGAGTGCTTTGTAAAGAGTGAGCTGCTGCACGGATGACAGCGGTCGTGTAAAATCGGCTGGAATTTAGCCTATGCCTCCCTTTTGAGTCCACTTCCTAGGGGGAACATCTGAATGGAAATTAAGCTGGAGATGCGGATGGTGACTGGCTGAAAACGCCAGGCTTCTTCTCAGGAAGTTGTCAGGAAGATACTGCAGACCAGGCGCCCGGATCCTGAATTCTGGCTCTGGCTCTGCCACTTACCAGCCTGTGAGCTTGGGCAAGTTACAGACTAGGCTCTGGAAGGAATCGCCAAAGGCCCTTCCGGCTCTGACGCTGAGTCTAAATCAGGCTCATCACTTGGCTCTAGCTGTGATTCACCTTTCGCCTCCAGGAGCAACTGTCCCTCCCTTCAGCTTCTCAGAAGCACGAAGCAGGGGTCTTGGAAAGGGTGGGGTCTGTGTATTTGATGTAAGTGTGCACAATAAAGTTATTCCCTGCAGGTGAGGTGGGGTGGGGGCGGTTAAAAGAGGTGTCGAGTGAGTGCTCTGAGAAACCAGGATGCAGGGAACACTGTAATGAGGTCACGACTGTCGCAGGCAGAAAGGAGCTGGACATCTGCTGTTGGGGGAGGGGAGTTGCATGCTTCATTTCTGTTTGTAGAAAGTCTCTTCCCGCACCCTTCAGGACCCCCTTGCCACCTCTCCCCTCACCCCCTTCCCCACACCTTTCAAATGCTACCAGGCTCTCCTCGCAGGAGAACCCATGTCAGTGCCTCCTCCGTGGTCCTGTCTGAAACCCTGAGGATTTTTTCCAAGCTGACTCACACCACTAATGTCAGGGAGCCCTGTCACAAGGCGCTGGGCTCTGCAAGCTGTTGCTTGCGCGGTCGTCGCTGCCGCTGCTGCTGGGCGGGTGCACCAGGTTCCGCTGGTGGGGCGGGACCGGGGCGGAGCCCGCCCCCTTGGCGCGCCGGCCCCGCCCCTCCCGCCCTCCCCCGCGGACCGCAATGATTTAGAAGTTCAGGAATCCCACGTGACGTCACCGGGGGGGTGATGTAATGCACTCTAAATAGAATGTATTGTAATCTTTGCTCAGTCCAACGTGGTCCCTTCACCCGGGCTTCGCTCTTGCCTTCTCCACACTTGTTTGGTAAGTTCCTAAAAATACGGCTCGGCCACTTCTGGGGCTTTTTTGCATTTAGCCACTTTTGTTGCACTTGCCGAGGGAGCCATCTCGGGAGCGTACTTGTTTGCAGGGGTTGGTTCTCGGCAGCAGCCGCGAGGTTACTTGGTCCAGTGGGCAGGTCACAGGGCAAGGAGTAGGGAAGATGCAATGCATTTTTTTGGAGGGTGATCTGTGTTTGTAAACACTTTGGCGGACCAGAGGGAAGTCCGGCCCCAAATGCTGGTGAACTGTGGAATTCTGCTGTGTCCTGAGGCCACCCCAGAGACCCCACGCCGTGTCTGTCCCGGAGCGCGTCTTGGTGGCCGCCGCGCCGTGCGACTGGAGGGATGCTAACGTGGAGTGAGCGCTGTGTACCCCCGGCGTGTGTGCGTGTGTGGGAGCGCGCGTGTGTTTCCCTGACACGGGGAACAGTTATGAATCGGGGGTGTGTGTTTGCCTCCAGAGACCTGGCAAGGTGCGGAACCCTCCAGAAGTGCGGTCAAGCGGTGGCAGCGGCGGCGGCAGCGAAGACGGCGTGCCAGGAACCTGCCCCGCGCCCCCAACTTCCCGGTGATGCGGCGGAACCCCTGGAGAAAGTTTGCAAACTTCCAGCAGGCGCGGCGAGGACGCCGGGTCACCTAGCGGGTGGGCAGGCGGGCGTGCGGGGACTCGGCTCGCTCCCGGGTGCCGAGTCTGCTGCTGCCACCTCTCCCGCAGTGCTGCCCGCCGCAGCTGGTGGGCGCGCGCACCCGGGGAGGGACACTGCCCTTGCAGGGCACTTGGCTTTCGCTCCAGGCACGGAAGGCTTGAGAGTGGCGCGGCACAGCTCGCGCCCACTCCTCCAGCCGCCGCCTGCCTCCGTCCGGTGCTCGCGGGCATCATTACCTCTTCCCCGCCGCTGCCCCAAGTGACAGCTCCCGCTTCTGCCGCGGCGGCGCAGTGGCGATTCCCAGGATTCGGCGGAGGAACCCTCCTCTACCACAGTTTCTCCACGGAACCGCTTAAACTTTTCACGAAGTTCTTACAGGGGCAAGACACGCGAAGGAACCAAGGAGATGTTTTCTCTTGGCGGCTGCATCCCGCTTCTTCTTTGCCGTAGATTTATTTCCGGGGGTGTGTGTGTGGGGGGAGGCTGTTATTTGGTAGATCAAGCCCCTAACGTTGTCCACCCCCACCCCCAACTTTCCCTGAACGGCTGCCGCCCCACTTGATGCTTGTTCAAGGCCAGGAACCGGAGTGGGCTGCTTGTATATTTTGTTGTCAAGCGTCCGCAGGGTGTGCTTGATTTTTATTTTTCCCTCCCTCTCTGACATGTGTCAAGGAATAAAGGCTGGATACAGGTCCATTACGTCATTCTGCAGGCCAGTAAGTGTTTGATTAACAGCTTCAGATACTCAAGGGTTCGGGGGCTTAGAAATGCTGACAAAGCAACTCTGCTTTTCGCCCCCAGCCCCCAACATACTTGTACAATCGCCAGTTCCCTGGGCATCTGTATTGCCCTCTCCTCGGGGACCCCTCCTTCTTCACCCCGTCTCCCGCCCACACCGTTATCGCTCTAGCCCCGCCTCCGCCTTTTACTGCTTTCCCTGGGGCTACCACTGTCCCTGGAGTGTGGGTAAGAGCTTCTGGTGTCTGAGGGGAGCACGGTACCTGATCAGCACAAGCACAATCTGCCCTTTTCTATTATTTAAGAAAGGCACCAGCGACCCCCTTCTCCAGAGCGAAAATGCTCAGCCCTGAAATGCTCAGCAGCCCTGACAGAAAGGCATCTCAGGAAACGCTCAAAGACGTTATGATAATACTGTGTCCCTGTGGCGATTTAGGAAAACAACACACCCACTGCAAACAAAGCACTTAATTTTACATAGCGCCTTTCTCCGACCGCTTAGCAGACGAAGGAAGAAGTGAGGACGCTGACTAAATCAAATTTAGCTGAAAGGATCAAGATGAAACGTTTCATTTCCAAAGTGAGGGAATGTGAGTCGTTAAACCCAAAGTACCATGCCATGAATTGCTGCGTGTGTTACTTTCTTTCTCTCCGCCTTAAGTTCCTATATTCAAAGAGGAAGTTAAATACACACGTCGTTATATGAATGGAGTCAGAACTCCGTATTTGGCAGTTGAAATAAAAACACGGTGTGTGACATGTTTAAGGGATAAAAGTAAAAACTCCGGGAGGGAGAGGTGTGTGCGCAGCAGAAATTAAAAAAAAATTACTAATGGGGTTTTGGAGGGAGTGGGCAGAGGAATTGGGCGCTCTCTGATTTGGAGTGGCTGAAAGCTAAATAAAGGAAAATTTATATTCTGAGGATGTGGGAATTTCTTGAAGACCACATGTTTTGTTGTAGTCAGACCTACTTTCTTCAAAGTGAAAGCCATGCTGCAGAGTAAGCATTTGTGAAACTCCTGTATGGGGTCTAATTGACAATCCTTCCCCAAGTTCGAGGCAGTATGTATTATTTATTCACATCTAGAGATGAAATAGTATACCCCCCCACACACACACCCAACCCGCCCCCGCACAAACATGGGCATCTAAAATGTTGAAATTCTTGTTTATGATGCATAGACCTAAAGGAAAAAATGGTCGGGGTCATGGACACTGGAGAGTGTGATTAATGATCAGTGATTTAGTGATCAGTGATTAGTGGTTTTATTCAAACTGTTACCTCTGACCAGAAGCACACATCAGAGGATTAACAGGCTCTTTAGATAAATGCTCATTAGTGGAAGGGGAAAAGCAAAGATAATAGGCGTGCACCCAGGGACAACTTTCGAAGAAAATCATTCCCGTCTTCAGAATAATTAGCTCTATTAACAGAAAGCCCTTTTAATTTAAAACTTGCTTTTATCTTGTAAATCAAAGTTAGATGTGCAAGTTGGTCGTGCCATTATAACCTAAATTTTCCCATATCCACTAGATGTGGATTATCTCAGTAGCGATATATTTTTTTTTCGTTTAAATAAACAATTGGACCTTTAGAGCAGCTGAACCCTGACAAGCCCTTCACTGCTAGGGTTTGAGGTGTCCCCCCTTCTCGAATGGAGAATGCAACTTGCTAACTAGATGGCGCACTGCTATTTGGTGTTCTCTGTCGTGCTGTGCAGGAGTCTAAGCGAGCAAGTAGCTGCTTGCGAGGTGTTCTTCAACACTTACAACAAAGTTGATTCTGTGTAGGGTTGGAGGCTAGACAGTTCTACAAGTTTTTAGTCACATTTTCCATGTCAGTTAAATCTAGGGAGTTCAAGGCTACTGGAAAAATTAGTCTCATTACTAAAAGGAACGTAGAGAACGGAGGAGGAGAGAGGTAAGGGAGTCCAGGAGGTACCTCTGAGTTGCAGAAGTGATTGTAAAATACCAGACCTGTTCTTTTTTTTTTTTTTTTTTTTACTGAGAGCTAGTTTTACAATCTTGTGGTCTGAAATACTGAGGCAAACACTCAGATTTATTTTTTTCATAATCTTGTTGGTGAAAAAGAAGTTGCTAGAAAGGAAGGAAGAAAAACACTTGATTTGGTGACTGCAGGAAGCAACACGTTGCTGACTTTATTCTACAGATAATGGTAAGATGATGTTTATTACCCTTATTAAGCAGAAAGGGAGTTTCGCAGTTGCTTAAAGGAGGCCAGTCTTGTCTTTTCAGAGGTGGAATTCAGAAATGGGATTTTTATTTTGCACTGAATTTTAATGTTGCTTTTGTCAGTTTCCTTGGACTAGGTAGCGTTTTGTGTGGAAGGGTTTGTGTGTGTGTGTGTGTGTGTGTGTGTGTGTGTGTGTGTGAATAAGGCCATTATTTTCTGGGCAAAATAATGTTTATGAGCATGTGAACTGCAGTGGGGGAGCTACGAAGCATGTTAGTGTGTCAGGTAAGAATTCCATTATTCCATGAGCTTTTAAGAATCACTTCAATAAATACTTAAGTTTTAATAAAGAAGGAGTTCTTTAAAAAGAAACCTAAAAATTAAAAAGAAAACAAACAGAAAACCCATTCTCTACATCCAAACCTTAGTGTGGATTCCCCTGAAAGATGCTATTGATTGAATATTAGCTAGTACTTTAGTTTTAAAACTTAAAAACAATGAAATAACTCACTTGTGCCTCCCTATACATTTTCTCATTTTCCTTTGTAGCATTTTATATAAATCTGTTGCTTTTAAATCCTTACAGATTCATAGTGATTTTTATTTTTTAAATTTTACTCGTTTGCTCAATTGTTAGTATCTTTAAGGCAACTGTTTCTCAATGTAAATTGCTGATATTCACAAATTGCCTGTAAATTAGATGTCAGTTGTGACCTTATATAGTTTATAAACGAGCAGACAGTTTATGAGAACATTCCCACAAAATAGTAGAAGCTGTGCCTTTATTTCTATATCTCTGTGCTGTTGCAGCTTTTATTTGAATAAGTGGTTAAATGAATGGTAGTTTGTCAGACACACTTTTCCCATATAGCTTTTCAATTACAGCAAGTTGGAGATTCTCATTACAACTATTTGTCAGTTTCCCATACCTGCAGATTCAAAGCCAATCGATCATGGACTTTCCATGGCTATTTGTACTGATGCCCATTTCTTGATTTCCTGATTTCTTAGTATAATTTGCTTTTTAGCAATGATGCATCACCATTTCATAGTATTTTCTTCGCATTGGAATTTGCTTCTTATTAAGCTGAGAATTATTTTGTGTGTGGTGGGGTGATGTTCGCTGGGTCCCCACGATGTGAGCTTTGTATTTGTAGTTGGTTTTCTTCCGGTTGTGTTGTTAGATTAAAATTGGGTATTTGAGTGGACATTATTTTTGTCATCTTTTCTTTTTCTTCACTTCAAAGCATTGCCGTTAGTCACAAAATTAATGTGATCATGCTGGTGTTTCCCATCTATATGCTTCTTTTGCTTCTTACAAATTGGATTTCTACAGCAATTTAAAATCTTTTTTTAGAGGCAGCTTTCTTGGATGAAGATGGAACAATGATCTCAGTCAATTCA